GCCTTTAAGTCATTAATAATTTAATGTAATTACTGGAATATTTGGGTTTAAATCTGCGTCCTACCATTTACATTCTATGTGTTATACCGGTTGTCCTGTGTTCCTTTTTTCTCTTCAGCATTCATTATTTGAATTTTTAATATTTTTATTATTTAATTTGTCTCTATTACCTTGTAATAAGGTATGCCTTGCTTTGAATAAATCATGCTTGGCTTTTGCAAAGTTTATTGATTCTGTGGTTTGATGGTTTTTAAAAGTTCTAGAAATTGATCTATTACCACTTTATATATTGCTTATGTTCTGTTCTTTCTTTTCTCTGTTCAAGATTTTAACCATACATGTGTCTCAAGCCTGTCATATTATTTTTGTGTTCTGCTTTTCTTTTCTCTGACTATGTCATTTTGGCTATTTCCTTCTAACATATCTAACTCAGTAAAAGAGAATAAAACCAAGCAAAATAAAACATAATAAAGTCAATCAAAACAAACCAGTGTGACACAGGACTTCAAAACAATGGGAAATCAATAATAGTTACCATAAGGCCTCTTGTTGTCTTCAAAATAGCTGCAGATACCTTCAGACATAGTAAAAATCAAGCAGATAGAATAGAACCAATAAAAACAAAACAATGAATGCAGTAAAGGACTTTAAAACAAGACAATAATAAGTCCAAAATGGCTACCATAATATATCTTGCTGTCTTTGTAATAGCTGCCCATACCACAGGCATAACAAAATCAAAGAAAACAAACAGAATAAACCCTAATCCAACAATACAATACAATACAATGGTACAGGATTTCAAAACAATAAATGGTACAGGATTTCAAAACAAGATAATAGGGAATTAGCAATGGCTACCATCTTCAGAAAGAGATCCCCAATAGATGCCACACTGCATACCATTATCTTCTGAACAGATATTCATACCACCTGCCCTAGACCTACAAAGTCAGTGAAACATCAATCACCACAAGCGTAAAACTGCACAACACCTCAATACCTGTCATCACAGCCTGTGTTTCTCTGGATTGGCCCGTCTTTGGTGGTGGTGGTAGTGGAGGCTGGAGTCTATCTGGCTGTCTCCCGGCGCTGGTGCCCCACACATGGCGCAGGCTCTCATGGAAGGCTTGCTTCTCGTGACTTCCTGTTCTCTTCCCCCGCAGTCTGCGAGTGGTGCTGACTCACGGGAAAAGGCTGGGGTCTGACCAATCTGATAAATTCTTAATCTTGAAAATTTTAATTTTCAGTCTAAAGTTTTATAGTGTCTTTTTTGTTGTTTTATTTTCTCTGTGCAAATTCTCCAGCTGTTATTTAATTCCTTAAATATACTAATTATGACTACTTACACATCAATGCCTGATAGCTAAATTATGTGGACCCCCTTTGGCCTATCTACGTTGACTCATAGGCTCAGACATTGTACATTATGTTCTCATCATTGCCCATGAAAGGTTGTAGAGAGGATCTGAGGCTTGGCCTGATGCTATCCTTGTGCAGAGAGGGTTTACATTTGCTTCCTACAGTTGGCTGTGAATACATTCTAACCTGGGTTTCTCTTATCCAACTAGTAATTAAGTACTAGTAAATTCTACTGTGAGTCCAGTCCTCAGGTGTCTAGTTCCTCACCGCTCTTTCCTTAGGGCGTAGCCTGTCAGTGTCCCACCAAGAGCCTTGGGTGTTACTAAATCCCCCTTTCTTGCCAGGTCCTAGACTCCAATCTTTGTCCCCAGTTGTGAGTCACTGAATGTTCTATTCAGTTTCTCAGCCCTTCAACTGTCTCTTTTGGAATCAGCAGACACGCCTGGGAAAAGCCAATGGTGATTGTATTTGTCTGAGCTTCTGGCTTCTCTCAGTTTTGCTCCTGCAGGTCTTCTCTGCCTTGTTAGCACTCTACTGCCTTTGAACAGAATATTTCATAGTTACTTGACACCAAAAATTCAATTCACGATCTCCTGCTTGCCAGGCAGGTGCTTATGCCACTGAGCTAAATCCTCGGTGAGCATAATTTTAATAAAAATATTATTGGTATTTTTCTTTACAGTAACAAGTAAGGTGAAAGTATGACAACTAGGCCATTGCGTTAGAACTCGCTCATCAGGGGTGGGTGTGATCAAATTCTTTGTGAATTGCATGGAACTTTTTGAACACAGAAGAGTATTTCTTCAAGCTTTTGTGTAATGGACATGATATACTTTTAAATTTCATTTTCATTTGAGTATTTCTCCACCACTTGCTTAAATCTAGAAAATTAACAGCATGTTAAAACCAACCCTTTTTTGTAGTATTTGTCCATTCCTGGTGTAAATACTCCTGTTGTGGCCAATTCCAAGCTTCTAACATGCTATTGCTAAACGAAGTTGGGAAGGAGCATAGAAACACATCACTGTAGAGTATTTACACCATGCAGATAGGATGTATTTAAACAAAAATAAGTGACAGCAAAAGTTAAATAATTAGGAAATGGTGAATTTTGAGTATTACCATCATTTTCAATCCAAGTTTTGTAAATTAAAGTTTATATATTTTAATTTTTAATAACAATTCCTGAAAATTTAACAAAGAGCTCTCACAAGATGGAATAAACTAACTTTAACCAACACACACTTAACCACCAATGACTGTCTCTTGTGTTGGACACCGTGCCAAATTTTATACATGGATTACTCAGCCAGAACAATTGCATAAAGAAAGCTCTGTTATACCTTCTTTTTAAAAGATGTATACTCTAATACTCAGAGAACTTGAGGACTTGGACCAAGGGTACGTACTTCGAATCTATATTTGCCTGACTCTTAATTAATGATAATAATAATAATAATAATCAACACCTTTATTGAATACTAAATTTGTCCCAGGACTTTGCCTGAACTTGATCTCACAATCCCCTTAATTCTCTTAATCATCACCTAGAGATTAAAAAATATATCCTTGACTTATCAACCATTAAACATTTTAGAACACTACATTTATCTCTCCAAATTTAATAATATTGCTTTCATATTTTAAAATTATTTATATTACTATATTATAATTATATATAAAATATAACTATAATTATATTATAATTTAAAATTACTTATATGCTGACTACAGTCAGCATAGCCGATATTTCAGGGAAATACAAAGGAAATTCTCTTACTGAAGCAACACTCCAACAGATAGGATGAGGCAAGGAACCGCTGGCGGTGAGCCGGCTGGGCAGGGTTGTCTCCCTTGCGTAGATGCTTTCAGCAATTTGGGCCTCTCTGGATGCCCACAGCGAGTCTTGGAGGCTGTCTGGTGGTCACCCTTCCATCTGCAGGCCTATAGAAAGGGAGTAGTGGGCCCTTCTGGACAGCAGGGGAATCACTGTCTTCCCTTCCATGTTCTTAAAAGAGGAGTGGGCAGCTGGGAGGGTGGCAAGTGTTCCCTAAGGAGCAGAAGTGGCAAGTAGGCAGAGGAGAGGTAAGAGCCCCAGCAGGCAGCTGAGCCTGCGCCTCCCTTCTCACCTCTGTCACTGAGCCATCTGCAAATCCTGCTCATCCTGTCTTTAAAACATCCAGCACTGGTTGATTCACACCACCTCCACAGCCTGCATCTGAGTCTTGGCCTCTGCCATCTCTTTCGGAGACTTTGGTAAAGTACTTAGGAGGTGACTGTCGAAGCCTCCCTGGCACACACCCCGCTGAGCCAGAGCAGCACACACACGGGCCTGCCTGTGGAGCCGCTGCCTGCCCTGGTGTCTCTGGCCTGGCCCTGTGTCCTCCCCTCTGCTGCTCCGTCCTGGGTGCTCCACAGACTCTCTCATTTCACTCCTCTGCCTTTTCCTGATGTCCCAAGCATCTCATTTAAATCACCCAGATTCCTCTCTGCCATCGTCAATGACAGCTCTCACTGCCTCCTGCCAAGCCAAACTCTGCACACGTTACTCTGTGTCTCATCTTTCACTTCTCTCTAGAATGTAAGCTGGGAAGGCACACTTCTTGGCATTTTTGTTCTCTGTGGTATCCCCGGGACAGGAGGACTTCCTGACACATAGTTGAGGCTCAGTAAACAGTTCCCAGCTGAGCAAATTCCTGCCCTACTGGAGAGTGGGTGGCCAGACTTTACAGCTCAAGTCTGCGTGTATGAAAGATGCGCTGGCCTGCCTCCCGCTCTGCCCAGCCAGGGTCCGATTCTCCGTCTCTTCATTGTCCCTCCATTGCCCCAAGGGCTCCTTCTCTGTCCTCACCCCTGCCGTCCTCCATCCGTACCTTCTGGATAGCCCCAGTCAGTGGGGCCCCTTTGACCTGCGCTCCACCTCTAACCACTGCAGTCCTGGAAGGGTGAGAGAAAAGTTTGTGTGACAGGCCTCGGGTTATGAATGTCCATATATTTGTCCTAAACCAGCATGGACCCAGCCCACACCTTTCCTGTGGAGGTCACAGGGATTTGGTTTCCTCCCCGTAGTCTCTGTGTGAACTGTGACTGGCTCCCTCTCCCTTCTCTTCTCTCTCCCTGGTCTCCCCTTTCCTTTACTTCTCAGGCTTTCCTTGCCTCCCTGTCTCTCTCTAATTGTCTTTCTGCTTCTGATCTCCTTTCAAGTTCCTTCTCACTCTCTTCTTAATTTTCAGCTCCAATCTGTCCCCCATCCTCACCTTGGAATCTTTGCAGCAGCTAGTTTACCCTTTTTCTCTCCTTGCCCCTCTCTGTCTGTTTCTGTCTCTGTTTTGGCTCCTAAGCTCTCCCTCTGTCCCTTTGTCACAGTTTCTGTCTCTCTGTGTCCTTCTGTCTGTCTCTCTGAGTCTTTACTGCTCTGCATCTCTGCCTGCACATGACTGCCTCTCTCCTTCCATCACTGTATCCCTGTGTCTCTGTCTCTGTGGGCTCTGAGACTGAGGAGCAGAGCCAGCAGCCCAGCCTCTCACCCAACCAGGCATACAGAGTTCTCTGTGCCTCAGAGTTGGCCTTCACTATTCTGCCTATTGGAATGCTCTTGACTGAAGACTGGAGCTGAGGAAATTCATTTGTCATTTCAGGTGGAAATGACCCTTCCCAAGAAGCTGTTGCCTGCTGCACTTGAGGGGATGCTCCTTGCCAGGAAGAGGATTCCACCAGGAGCAGCTTTTTAAGGAAAACACCGCCTTGACATGTCATGTGTCAGAGGAAGTGGGTTCTACACAACATGAATTGCCAGCCTGACCTCCTGCAAGGTCTCAAGTTCCCCAGATTGAGGCCTTTCCTGGGCTAGGCAAGGGTCAGCACAGCTGGACATGAATGTGAAGACTGGAGGGGGAGGCTGGGTGCAGGGCAGCAGAATAGCCACAATCCATACTACCTGAAAGGGAGCAGCCACTTTTAGAAAGGGACAGGCCTGGGGAGCAGGAACAGGCTCAAGGGTGCTGAGGATCTGGTATCTATGGTGTGTTCACAGCCAACATCTCTTCTAGTCCAGGGAGCTTCTTAGTGCCATTTTGGGGGAGAAGTGTATTAAGATTTAGAGAGAGGTTATAATGGAACAGGCTGTGCAAATTAAAAACAAAACTGAGAATGTCTGGCTCAAAACCCATACTCTATCCCCTCCCACAAGCTGTTTATTGTTAGTGAAGATTACTGGAGGAGAAGGATGCTTCCTTGGCCTGAACAATGAGCACTATGACTTGTTCATTGGCTCTCTAGACATTACTAGGTGCTTAGGCCCCAGGGATGTCCCACATGGATTTTCTACCTTCAAGGAACTCACAGTCTATGGTGGACACACTGGAAGTAAAAAGTGAGCGGGATTGTACAGGGAGGGCTGGTGTGAGTCTAAAGGAAAACCCTGAAGCATCTGAGTCCCAGGAAATCAGGAAGACTTCCTGCAGGAAATGGTCTTCGAGCTGCCCTTGACCGAGGGGCAGTGCCCACAGCAGGCGCGGCAGGGAGGCCTGAAGGTACTGCATCAGTAAAACAAGACACATCCAGAGGCCAAGAGGGAGGGGACTGTGAGAGGCAGAATAAAGAAAAGAAGGGGGGGAGGAGAATAAAGGAAAGGGAAGGGAAGGGAAAGGAAGGGGAGGGGAGGGAAGGAACGGGGAGAAGGAAAGGGAGAGGTGGGAAGGTACAGGTCCTAGGAGACCTGAGGAGAGGGGCTGGGCTCAATTCCCAGGACAAGGGTGTCATGAGAGGGCTGAAACATGGAGGAGAGATGTGACCTCAAATTTGCATTTTAGGTCTGGACTCTATGGATAAGATTGTTAGGGAGGGTGTTGAGGAAGATCTTGTGACATAGTGGGATTAAGACACTTGAAATCCTACATTGGCCTCAGAGCAACTGTGGGACAAGCTAGCTTCTCTGAACTTCAGTTTCTTAATATTTAGAAGGGGAATAATGACCGTAGCTTCTTCTCTGTGCCCTCCCTGAGATTTAAAACAATCCTGCAGAGACCACTGGGGACAGTTTGTACTCATGTGGTGAGCCCTGCCTGCCCATCCTGCACCAGAAGCTCACTGTGTTATTGAGGAGCCAGTTGCTACAGCCTCCGCACTTTATATGTGGGGCCTCATCTAACCCTCACAGCAATTCCGGGATGCTGTGCCCCACTTCATCCTCTGTCTACAGAAGAGGAAACCAGCTCAGAAAGACTCTGCTCAGCTTGGGAAGAGACCTCATACCTCCACAGCCATGGGACATCCCTGGAGACATGGGGTGGATACATGTGAGTACCATGCCAAGGTCCAGATTTAGGTCACTGACACAGATATGTGAGGACAAGAACGTACTCCTGTGGGTTCTGCCAGATGCATGCTTGCAAGAAAAGCTCAGACACACACAGCACCACCGGTACATTCCCACACTCACTGTGCCTCCTCGCACACACTGAGCAGTGCACATTGGCATGCACACCTGCTCCCTACCGAGCAATGCACTCAAGCACACACATCACACTGTGCCTCAGATCTCTGCACAGAGGATGCACACAAGCACCACACACATGGAGTCAACAGGGACTGAGAGCCTGATTATAGGAAGGGGTAATGTGGACCTTGTAAAGGAGGCAGTCAATAAGACAGGGAGGGTCCTTCAGAGAGGGTGTCAGCCAGCCAGAGGCAGAAGTTTATTATCTCACAGTTCTGGAGGTCAGAAGTCTGAGGTCAAGGTGTTAGCAGGTTGTTTTTTTGTTTTGCTTTTTTTCTGGAACTTTTCATGTTGATCTCTTAATGGCCATTTCTCCTCTGGGTCTTCTTAAAGTTGTCTCTCTCTTTCTCTCTCTCTCTCTCTCTCTCTCTCTCTCTCTCTCTCTCTCTCTCTCTGTGTGTGTGTGTGTGTGTGTGTGTGTGTGTGTGTGTGTGTCCTGACTTCCTCTTCTTTCAGGACATCAATCACATTGGATTAAGGCCCAGACTAATGACTTTATTTAACCTTAATCACCCCTTTAAAGACTCCTTTTCTAAATACAGTCACAATACAGGGGGTAAGGACATCAACATATGAATTTGAGGGGGGACACAATTCAGCCTGTAACAGGGAGCTTGCTTTCCACTGGCAGGTAGTCACAACCAACAGAAGTAGAAAATGGTTCAACCATGGTAGGGCGATGAGCAAAGAGAAAGGCCTGGGAGAGAACAGGGAAGACTGGAGCGCCTGGAGCCTCGGAAAGGGCAGTCGGTTAGGAGTCTGTGGAAGTCTGGCATGGGCCAAGTCCATTCCTTCATGTCTCCAGGCTCCACACTGGCCGGTTGCAGTGTTGGAGGGCTCAGGAAGTGTGCTGCTGGGGGATAGACGGGAAAGGTAGAGCTCCCTGCATCTGAGGAGGCTGAGCTCAGTGGAGGAAAGGCCTGGAAGACATCAGAGAGAGGCAAGCCCATGCCTGACAGCCTGGACGGTCAGGCAGGATGTGGATGGCCTGGCAGGAGCCAGGCTCGGGACTAACTAGGGAGGTAAGTAGAGATAAGTAGATAGACAGAGGGGTCGAAAGCTGCCCTGAATGTCAGCCTGGGCCAGCTGCATAGCTCTGAGCAAGTTACTGACCTGTCTGAGCTGGTTGCTTCATCTGTAAATAGAGGACGAAGTGGAGAGCTACTTCTCAGAATTGCTGTGAGGATCAAATGAGGCCTGTGTGTAAAGTACTGAGGTCACTGCCTGGCGCATAATGAGTGCGCAGATGACACTAGCTACTGTCTTGCGGTTGCTGGTGTCCCTCTGGAAAATAGGCACACTGCATCGTTTCTGGCTCTGCTTCTCCCTTACCACATAGCTTTATCAGTCTCTAAGTCCCTGCCTTTTCCACCTGCTTGGGTCTGCCCACACCTCACTCCCTTACCCATGAGGCTTCATCTTCTCCACCTGGAGAACATAGATGACCACGTTAAAATACCAGAAGACCAATAGAAAAAGGTCATTCTATTCCACACCCCTCGGACCTCCAGGCACAGCCCAAACCAAAAGTGCATGCCCTTGGCCTGCCTCCAACTTTATCTGCCCTGTGGTTTCAATACCCACTCCCTCCGAACGCCATGGCACCTCCTCAAAGACACTGTGCTCTCCTTTCTGAAGCTTAAGTTGGATATCCCATTGGGCCATGATTCTGTCACATTCCATCTAAGATGCTCCCACAATCTGAGGACTTTAAAAGACCCAGTACTTGCACCTGTGGGACCACGAATGCTTCTCACCGGCCCATTTCCACTCTGTGGGGCACATTTTCACTTTTAATAAGTCTTTCTCTTGCTGCTCCCTTTGAATGTCCTTCCAGATCCTTTGCTTGGAATACTAAGAACCCGAACACAACTCCCACAAGGCCCCCAGCTGATAACACTAACAGCCTCTCCTGGATTTCCCTTCCATCATCAGTCCTGCCTCTCTGTACACTGTCCAGTCAATATCCGATGGGTGATCTCAGCATGCAATACCATGTACATGATAAATAGTACTCAAGATTCTTCAGGTTCTGGCCTTAGATTTCAGCTTCATCTCCAGCCATGATCCACACATGGACACAGCCCTCTTGGGCTACTGCAGACTCAAGTGCTTTAGTGTCCATAGGCCCTCTACTGGGAGGTCTTCCACCTCCTCAGCCCTGACTTCTCAGATTTATTTATTCCAGGCTGAGCACAAGGGCCAAGAAGTCACTGAAGCTGCCCTGTTCTAGGCCAAGTTAACTGAGTCAACTGAACTCTCTATGGTACCCCTGCAGATGCAGGCCACTCCCTGGGACAGTTCCCCTAGGCTTCTTTGCTGTGTTCTTTAGGAACAATTGGGTTGTTTTCTCCTATATAAACTGACTCATCCTCTTGGACATGCGCTGGGGGCTGTGTGTGTCCCAACCCTGCAAGGCTGATGCTTTTTCCAGTCTTTCCTATGAGCAAACCAGCTCACCAAAGTGCATGATCTGCCCAAGCTGACATCCCGGGCTGCCTCACACCCAGACTCCTTCTTACACAGTTCTCTGCCTTTGACTTTCTCTGCTCCCCATTCTGGGCCATCACTGATACCCAGCCCAGACATCAGTGCTTGCTGCCCCCTAACCATGCAGGAGAGAATGCCTTCCCCCAGGGATTGTGGGAAGCAAGCCTGCTTAGGAAAATGTGACTTCTAAAATCAGCATTATCAGCACCTGTCTTGAGAGGCAGTTTTGTGAGTACTCACAAAAGAAATTCCACATTTGTTAGTGGAAGTGACCCACTCGCCAGGATGCCCTACTGAGACCAGACCCTGACCATAGAATCCAGAAACAGATTCATGGAAGTGAATCCTGGATGCTGCCGGGGTATCTGATGGACTCCACGCTTGAAGTAGAGGGTTAGAAAGAGACCTGAGTGGGGAGAAACTGACCAAGGCCTATGCAGGTCTCAGTTTAGGCTTGGACTCTCCCACCTGTATGACACTGCAGGCCTCAGGCAGCCCCAAGCATTGGGAGGGATGCGGACATCTTAGAGGAGGCATCGGAAGTGTAGAGCTGTGTGTAAAGTGGCCCAGGGGCAAGGCCTATGCTGGCCCAGGTCAAAGGCATAACAGCAGATATCTTTGCTATTTGCCCGGGGGATCTCAGTCATGTCGGTTCACACAGCTCAAGCCCAATATGAACCATGAAGTGACAGAGTTGCTAAAGTGTGGGTGGCATTAGTGGAGTAACAGTCTCTAAATCAAAGGAAATCAGTAACTGCTATTCTTTGCTAACTAGTCCATATGTAGAATTAAGCATTAGTGCTGAGCTTCATGTTTGAAGAGGAACAAGGAAGTGGAAAATATTTAGTTCTTAGAGGGGTTGTCACGTGGAAAGAAAAGGAAAATTAATATTTTGAGACTCTGGAGAGCAGAGCCAGGGTAAGGACATACAAGTGGGAAGATTTTTTAGCTAGATTTTAGCAAGTTTATTTTAGTAATCCCATCTATTTAGAAATGCACTTAGTTGCCTGAGTAGATAGCAAGGGCGCTGTCTCTGGACAAACCTAGAGGTGGGTCATTCTCTGGGAGGCTAATGGGCAGATTCCTGTCCTGGGAGTGGTTCAGCTAAACGCCCTTTAAGGTCTTTCAGACACTAAGATTGTGAGACAATCTTCCTGGAGAGTCTGTCTTGAACTGGATACCTTGGAGCTGAGAAGAGAGCCAGCCCCCAGACCTTGAGCGCTAGTACTCAGCTGGGCAAACAGATAGGACACTGCAGTGTAGAGCTGGGTGGTGAAAGTCATGACAGCTGGGAGCCCTCTTGCGTTGAATTTGCAAGTAGGTCATAGAGGGCCGCTGCTGTGGCCTCTCACTCAGAACAATGCTTCCCGGAAGACCTTTGTTCAGTGCTGGAAATGTGTTATGTCTGCACTCTTTAGTATGCTGGCTTGGCATGGCCTGTGTGACTGAAGTTTTAATGCAGTGTAGCACTTTAATGCACCTCCATGTAGGAAGTGCCCCACGCATTGGGCAGCACAGATGTGGAGCATTTCCCTGGTTGCAAAAAGTGCAGTGGGCAGCTCCATGGTTTTGAAGGTATCAATTGTACAAAGAGGGGAAGCTTCAGACTGGATAGAGCAGTTTGCTGTGGAACTTCAGATAAATTCCTCTGCTTCTCTGGGCTCTACCACCAGTAAAGTGAGGACTCAAATAATAAAGCCTTTCAAAAATTATGCTACACTAAAGGCTGTGGGTCTAGCACTTGGAGGTTTCTCTTCTCTCCTTAGAGGAGAGGAAATCTTCACTCTATCCCTGTGTCCCTTCTTCCTCTCTGTTGACCCCAGTCTTCTACCACCCAGAGCATAGCTGCCAGCGACCCGGAGAACTTTTGTATTTACCGCTTAGCACTTGCTGTTCAGGTCTCTGACCTTCTTTAGAAACTTTTTCTTTACGAGTTTATTTTGGCTTGTGCTGAACATTCATAAAATTCCTAGGGAACTGGAGGTTTAAAAGTCAGGCTTGTAAAAGGAGTAGGTGGGCGGGGGTGGGAACCGGTGGAGGGGCACGGACAGCGGCCAGCCCTGGGAAGCTGGAACAGAAGGCAAAGTTTTCTGTTCTCCACTGAAGGCCTCCTCCTGAGTGCTGGTTCTTCTGGGTTGTGAATGGGGAGCAGAGGTGGAAGGGAGAAAGGGTGGGGTGGGGTGTGGAGGAAGATTGTGGATGTGGGGGTACACAGGCTGGGTTTTCCCACTGGGCCAGCAGAGCAGCCCCTTCTGGTAGGAGTCCCACTGGCTGGCTTGGGTTTTTCTTGTCATTCACCTCCTCTCCGGCCAGGCCACTCCTTAGCAGGTTGGAGGCTCTGGTGAATGGCATATGAAACAAATTAGGTCTCCATTACAGCCACCCAGAGGCGGGCGGTGGATGGGGCCTGCATTCACAGCGAAACTAATTGGCAACACACAGAAATATCCAAGAAAGTGTATTATTTTGCCAGACTCTGGAGTCATATTGGGCTTTTTTTTTCTTTTTTCTGTAGAACACTATACAGCCGGAGATAAAAAGCACGGTGAAAGTTTTAAATCTCATAAAAGCATTTGACTGCAGAGTAAAAATAACATACACAGAGGAGTTTGATTTGGATTCAGGTTTTATTAATGTTCTTTCATTGCAAAATGTTTCTGATTAAAAAACAATTTGGAGAGCGCCACATTAATAAATGGCTTGTCTTTCCGATGGGCCAGAGATTTTGAAATACTGCGGTGAACGCGCACGCGCACACACACACACACACACACACACACACACACACGTGTAAGTTGCACCACCAGGAGGTTGGTACAACAGTATCTAAAATATTCCAAACTTTAAATTTTAGATACTATTATATGGCTTAAAGCTAGATAGAGGAGGAAAACTTCATGTCTAGAGAAAAAATACCCTGCAGTTTATTCAGTGCCACTTGGTCCAAAAATAACACAGAATGCACAACCTGGCTTAGAAATCACCAGCAGGGATCAGCAAAGGCCAGAATATGCTAGATTTCTTTCTCCAGTCATAAAACAAGGCTATTTGCTTCATTGGTCTTTGAGGACTTGAGAATTTCTCGAGGAAATCAATAAAGACACTTATTGATTTTCTTGAAGTGTTTTTAAGTCTTTGTTTTAGGCAACACTAACTAAATCTGAAATGAACGAGAAGTGGAAAGAGACTAAGTCATAGTAAGTCCAGGAAATAGTATTTGGACCTAGTTGTTTTTAAAACACAGCTAGTAGAAAACTAACTCCAATTGAGGTTTGCAAAATAACCAGCAAATATCATAATATGAGGGCCAGACATTATGAGATTATTTTTAACCAGTCTTTGCCAAATAACTGGTAAATTAATCAGTTCCTCAAATAATTCCCAACAAGTTATTTTTAGAATAACTGGTAATTTCCAATTCAAGTGCTTGCTTAACTATATCCAACTGTTTTGTTTTCTGCCCCCTCACAAATGAAGTTTTAGCTCCAGGGAGGAAACATAAGTCTAACTGGTTGCTTTTTTAGGTGGCTTGAGCTGTTCAGCCTGTGGGTCAATTTGAGGGGCTACGTCTCTCCTCCGGAGACCTTGCATATTATCGGTCACTAGATGGCCCAGGAACGCTGGTCATAAACCTGGCTATTTCCTCAAAGACCAGAGGCAAGGTTTTGTTCCTGTAGGGTGGGTATCAGAATGGGTTGGGCATGGGTTTGTGTTTTCTGCAGGTCTGGAAGCTGAATGCACTTTCTTCCTATCCTATTCACCATAGTCAGATAGCCCATCCAGCCTCCTGCCCTGCCCTGATCTCCAGAGCCCCAGAGAAGGGAAAGACAGCCTCTGAGCCAGTAGTCAACAGAGACACACATAGCTGGATTTCCAAGCTCTGACTCCCCAGGGGCCTGACAGAGGTTGCTTAGTACCAGCTCAAGAGCCTGCTGTTGGGTCAGCTGGGCACACAGAAGAAACAAAGGGATAGAACTCATCCTCTTTTTGCAGTGGCTTCTAGGTCTTCTCCTCTACCCCTCCCCACACCTGCTATCACCAGTCCTGGGTCTGGGACTGATTTCAGAAGACAGCAGAATCTGCATAACTGCACGACCCATACCCCATCTCATCACTTTGTTTCAACCTCACACATCCAGTGCCTTGGCTGACTGGAGCTGGTGGTGACCAGCTTGCTCTTGTCTACCTTCCCAGGGCCTGGATGGCCTTTGAGTAAACAGATAGCCTAGAGAGGTATGTGATCAATTAGCTTTGCTGCAAATACAATCATTTTGTTATTCCAAGCTGATGAGAAACCCTCTTCGGCCTGCTCTCCCAGCCTCCACATGCCAATCAGCCCGTGTCACTGATATAATTTTCCACATAAACACAACCTTTGTGCAACATCTACTCTTGTAAATAGATGTAATTCCCAAACCAAATAACGCAGTTGGAGGGGAAATGGATATTATGCATGCAAAAAGAAAAGCTGGTGATTTTTACACTTTCCAGGCAACAAAAGATTACCCCTAATTGCAAATGGGGAGGGGGCTGTGGGGGGAGGGAGGCGAGGCAGCAGTGGCTGCTGGGATACAGGGAGGCCAGCTTCCAGGAGGGTTTTCTTCATGTGCACATGTGTGAGTGCAGACCACCAGGAACCGCTAACGGGGGATTTGCCCTGTTTAAGCAACAGGGAGAACATGGGCCCTTGTTGTTGATATCTTAAAGGAAATGAAGAGTTACTTAATTATAAGGTTTGGTCTCTCTTGCCAGGAGAGACCCCCTCTGAACCCTAAACTATACACATCCTGTTGCAGAATTTTCCCCTTGCCTTCCTGCCTGGAAACAGCTTCGGTGGGCTATGAGCTCCTCTGAAACACACTGGTGCATCTCTCTCAATGTTCTGCTCATTTACATGGATGCCTAAATTAGACCTTGAAAGCAGCGGAAGTTGCTGGGCAGCCAGAGTGAGATCGCCGCAGAACCCACTGTGTAATCCCAGCCAGGTCCAGGCTCTCCAAATGCCGTGGAAATGAAGGCTGAGACGCCCCCTCCAGAGTCTTTGCCTTCCCTGATTCCCCTGTTGTGGGAGACAGAAAGCCTTTTGAGGTCAGCCTGCCCAGAGTTCCAGGCTGACTGCTGGGGCAGAAGATGGGTGCCAAAAAGAGTGAGCAGCCAGTAGCAGGAAGCTACAGGGGTGGCTAAGTGGCCCCACGCAGTGCCAGGGTACCTGAGTGTCGGTGTTTCTTGCACCCCCGCAGCCAACCCCACTCCAGGCTAGACAGCAGGACTCTAGGCTTTCCTCTTGTGATTCCGGAAGGCAATAAGTTCACAGAAGATGAACAAAGATTATTTTTGTCTTTTGCAAAGATGCTTCTTTGAGCCGGTGAGTAACAGCATCTTGGCTTTAAGATAGCCTTGATGCTTTCAGAGCATATTTCTGGGTCTTTATTTTGTTTGAGTTCTAAATGGCAACAAGGAGAAAGAGAAAGAGGAAGAGCAAGCAATCAGGGGGCACAGACCAGGGGCAGGCAGAGGGCCCATGGGGCTCCTGGCTCCTTTCTAGGTGTCAGCCCAGCCTGGAGGAAGGGGTGGGTGGCCCCGTAACGTGTCAGCTAAAAAGATTCCTCTTTGGAATCCCTTCCTCCCCCATCAAAACTGGGCCAAAGAACTCTCTTTCAGAGCATCCCTTGGTCCCTGACTCATGAAGCCCATCTGAAACTCATTAGCTGCTTAAAGTGATTGTCATGAGAGTGCTTGGTGGAAAATAAAAAAGAGAGAGGGATACTTTTAAAGACAATCATCAGGACCCAACTGCTGGCAGATGTTTGAAGAGCTGGCAGTCGAGGACCCTGCATTGTGGGGAGCAGTGGGGACTGACTCCTTCCCTGACCCTGGCCTCGGCTCTGTGCCCTCATGTCTTTGTGTCTCCTGCAGTTCCTGGAGCCCAGCATGGATACAACAGCCCTCTTCAGGTAGCTGCTGAAAGATCCCGGCCCAGGGACACCCAAAACCTGATCCTGGGAATAGCTGTGGTGGTCCCTTGGTCCTTTGTCACCTGTAACTTAATTCCTATGTTTTACAGATAAAGTAATTTTGTATTTGTAATAACAAAAAATACTATATGAGAAATGCTGGAATTATGATAACATACTACATTAAAACCACAGAGCTAAGAATCTTAGAATTATAGAATCTTCAAAATATAGAACATGGAATTAAAATTTTTTTGTATTGCAGGGTCTGAGAAAATCAGAATTTTGGGAACATACTGTTAGAATTCTTACAAAATTAATTTATCACGTAAATGATTTAAATCTTAATAGCCTAAAACATTAGAGTTAGAGAATTTTAGAATTGTAGTATGAGAACTTTAGAACACTAAAATTTTAGAATTTCAGTATGAGAATTTTAGAATACTCAAAACGTAGAACATCAGAAATGCAGAAGAATAAATTTATAAAAATACAGAATCATAGTTTCTTACGATCACAGAACTTGAAAATAGTGGAATATTAGACTATTAAATTAAGAAAACATTGAACAATAGAATCTGAAGCGTTATGGAGTATTAGCATCATGGACTGGCAGAATTAGAGCACCATACAATTTAGAACTAGAGTTTATAATTATGGACTCCCTGGGTTATAAATTCTTAGACCCACAGAACACTAGAATCAGAATATGTGTTTGTGTTACAGAAGTGTGACACATACATATTACAGAATTTTGGAATTACAGCATTTCACAAACGGTTTTAAAGAATTTCAGAGGCCAAAAGGGATTTGGAGGTGATTCGGCTGTCCTGCAGGCCAGTCCTGTGTGTGCCTGACTGTATGTACACGGGCAAGCACACCCTCGGCCGCCTTGTACTGATGTCTAGACTGCAGTCACATTCTATCGTTCTAAGCTGCTGACCTCCTTTTTTGCCTCCCCTGTCTGCCGAGCCTCTCATCACTACGAATGCCATCCAGTTCTCTGCTTTTCAAGGAACAACTTACTTGTTGCAATTCACCCAGTATCTTAACTCACCATGCCCAGTGCCTTGCAGGTCAGGACTGTTTCAATGATTAACATATTAGTGAAGTGAAGTTTTGCCTTCTTTGGGCTGTGGGAGGGTTAACAGAAAGAATGGTGCCGCCTCAGTATGTGTGTGGCCTCTGTCCCAGAAACAGCAGCAAAGAGATCCCCATAGGGAGCCACGGGATCCATTCCTCCTTGGGAGGAGGTGGGAGTCGCGGCAGTGGCTGAGATGAGGAGCTGATCCATCTAGGTGAGAGGAGATTTGAAACTATAAACCATTTCATGCTTATTTATTTTATGATCCTCACGGGCTGGGATTTACACAAATTGGACAACATGTGGATTAGATAATTTGCTGGGAATTAACAACCTCTGATGGTTATCAGTCTTGGGAGTGATTAAAGCCTGTTGATGAGAAGGGTTCAACAAAGAGTTGATGATGTTATCCACATCCTCATCGTGTTCAGAGAGATATGGTGGTTCATCACCCAGCCATAAATTCCCACAGGGGACAGCACAGTGGAAGAAGTTGGTCAGAGACTAATGCTCAGGATTCTGTTACAATGAGAAATAAACCAAAAGCAAAAACAATTGACTTCCTAGGGAATTAATCCCAAAACCCTGCAAAAGAAGCAGCTTAAGATAAACAATTTAAACATGGAAGCTTCTGCTTTTTAATTCAAGGATCAGAAAGACAGTCTGTGCAGGGGCTGCTCAGAGACAGGTCTGCTTTCCTCCTGAGATCTTTTCTCCAACTCAGTTTCCCCAAAGAATCATGTTGCCTTAGGCTCACCTAAAGCCCTTCAGGGAGGGAGCATCTTAGGTTAGAAATGCCAGCAATCAGGGCACATTTCCCGCAGGCAAGACACCGAAAGCAATGCCTTTTGCCACTTTCAAATATTTTTCTTTAAAAACCCATCAGGTTGAGAAACAGCAAAGCCCTCATAACAAATCAAACTGCAGCGGTTCTAAGAATACCATTTCGATGGAGCCGGGATTGTTCCGAAACTGGAATGTCTGCCGGATGGGGAGAGTTCAGGAGACTCCGGTCCATAGCACAGCTGCCTGCGTGCTGTGCTCTGTTTGTCAGTGAGAACTCCTCTCTGGTCCCCAATAGGCCCACCCACAAATGGGAAGTTGGGTTAAATAATCTAAATGTGGGTGCAAAAATATTAGAAACAGGAAGAGAACAATTTGGCTTTGTTTCCTTTTTTGTGAATTGAATTTCAAATTAGTCAGGCCAGTGTTTCTATTTATTTTAGAGGCAGTTCGATCAAGAACTGCAGTTTGTATGACTCTAGCTTTTGATTTCTGATGCTGAACAACAAAACCATGTCTCCAAACTTCCTAGATTGTGGCTGCACCTATTTTTCATAGTTTTCACTGGTACAATGGATTGTGCTAATACAAAGGACAAATGCTGTTTCCCTTCAATTCTGAAAGAAATAAGGAAAGAGAAGGAGAGTGGAAAGCACTAACAGCATGGCAAACAGCATCAACAGGCCTTCCTGCCTCACTGTCAATGCCTCCCTCTGTAAAATGGGTATGGGATGAAGGAAGAAAAAATCTTCATGTTGTCTTCCAGCTCCAAAACAGAGTCCCAGCCCTGATTCTGAGCCAGGATGCTGGGTACATTGTGCTCCTTTGCATCTACAGATACTGGAGATGGCAGGGGTAAGGCCCAAGAAAAGGAGCATCTATAAGACATAACGGCAAATCCCTCATTTGCAGATGAGGCTCTTTCACTGTGAGCCTGAAAGGCCAAGGAGAGGGTGAGTGGGATGAGTGAGGGGCCATGGGGTGATGACACACCCCAGTGGAGCGTATCACAGCTCCACTGAAAGTAGGTGGATCAGTCAGCAATGAAAGGAAGTGAGTTGGAGACATAAACTGGGGGAGCAGGACTGGGGGCTCCGCTGGGCCCACATGGCATCAAGGCAGGCAGGGCTGCCTGGCAAGAGTGGGGATGACAGGTCCTGGGCCAGGTCCTCCGGTCTGAAGCCCAGCTTTAAGCTGATGACAGTACTATATATCCTTTCATCTTGACTAGGATAGGATTATGCCTGAAACGTCCAGGACTGGATCTTTGTGGAAGCACTAAGTTGGTGGTGAGGCTTGGACGTGGGGCTGGCATGACCCCAGGCCTCAGGCTTGTCTGCTCAGCCAGAATATCCAGTCAGGACAGCCCCAGCCTAGCCACCTCAGCCCCACAGCTGGTCAGTGAGGACAAACAGCCTGTCCGTTCAGTCCAACATGGGGGCAGCTTAAATAACAACATGTCAGTCCAACAAAAACAATCCATTCAGTTATAGAAATGGCAAGGGGAGGAGTGAAACAGAAAACTAATAACAATATCAGTTCAGTTTTAAAAAATAAGTATGCAACTTCCTCAGATATGATCTCAGGAAACAACCAGCCAGGGCATGGACACAGTTGCCCAGGCTCATCCAAACAGGCAATCACAAGACACACCTGGAGGCGGGAACATTCAGAAACAGCCTTGGGTCCCCCAACATCCTGGCTTCTGTGAAATCTCAGAATCGCAACACTATTAGAACTGCTAGCGACTGGGGCTTCAGAATTATATGATCTCATTCCTTCCCTTGCCATGGAAGAAGCAAAGGAAATAGGAGCCAAATATTCTTACCCAGTTGCCCTAAGACATCCTGTCCCCCCTCTCTCTCTGAGCTGCTCTAGGTGGAGGATTCTTGCGTCTCACCGGACTCTCTCTTGCTGCAAGACCAGGCTGAGTTCTTGTCCTTGTGGCCAGTGTCCTGGTTGAGTGTGCCAGACATCCAGAGCCCAGAGTGGGCTGGGGACCAGTCTTTCCCTGGGGAAGCAGAGGGTCTGGATGGCAGAGGACAGCCTGGAGGGCCTCTCACTGTTTGATAAATAAACATCAGAGTCGAGTTTCAGAGCTGTGACTCTGCAGGCCTTTGGTGCAGGAGAGGCCAGGTGGGCTGAGGGAGTTCCCGTGGGTGGGCGGCACATGAAGAGACGCGGTGCGGGGAGGGGCAGGGCTCCATCCAGTTGGCCAGTTGAGTCAGCGTTTACAGGCCATGGAACTTCACACCTTCGAAAGGCTCCAGAGCGGCCCACAGGAAAAATAAACCATTCCTCCCATCCGTGGCAGATCGACCATCCTCGGGGGCTGCTCGTCATGCGCACAGAGAGCCTGTAAAAGGGCTCAGTGTTTCCTTTTCCACTCCCTGAAAGGATGTGTGCCGAGCCTCGCAGGACTTCTCGGGTGGGCGAGAGGGCTTTAGCCACGGCCAATGAGGACAGGGGGCCAGGTTGACCCCCGGGACATCCACCCGGTCTCTGAACCCTGCTTTGCACATCTGGTGACCAGGAATAAAAATATCTGCCTTAGCGTTTGACTGGGTGTGCTTTTCGTGGTTGAGCAAAGCAATTGTATATATGAATGTGCTTAGCATGCAAAGGCTATTTTATCAGTGTCTTCCTCCATTATTGATCTGTGTCATCTGACAAAGTCAGCTGGCCTTAGGAGCCATGTTCTCTGCCCTATAAAGTAGGTGAGTACCTGCACATGTAGAAGCGGGGATGAGACAAAGGCCCAGCGAGGGACACAGAAGACGCCTCTGTCCTGATCGCTTCCCTGATCGGGCCCCAGGCACATCACTTCAAATGGAGATGATAACTCGATCTTGACCTACTGTGCCAAGAAAGCCCTGAGGACAAGTACAATGGCCCAGGCACTGATGAACCTCATTAAGCCACAGAACATCAGAGAGACTAGGCATCAAGACATCACGGAACAAGCAGGAAAGACACAAGGGTTAGAGAGTCCTAGGGTTATTACTAGAAGTCTTATCTCACTGGGTGATGACTCAGGCAGAATCATGGGGAGCCTTCAGTAGCCAGGGTTCCTGCTGCCTGTAGGCATCAAGAAGGGTTTCTCTGAGGACCTGTCTGTCCTAAACTGGGAGCTCAGTTTTCACCCAGGGATATTTGGCTGTAAATGCTTTAAAGTTTAAACTGCTGCTGCTGAGCCAGGAGATAGCTCCAGGATAGTCATACTCTCTCCTGCCAAGGCCTTTCAGAGCTGGGAAGAGATGGAAAAGACAAGGACCCAAAGGATGAGGAATGTAAGGGCAGATCCCTGTCTGAACACTTAGGAACAGTCAGCCATCTC